TATGCTTTATTGTTCCAAGATTCAATTTAGATACACTAAAATCAGAGTTTTTCTCTTTTAATCACTTTTAATTGTCAAATAAAAACCGTTTTACTGAAGATTTCTGTAAACAAATTATTTTTTTCTCACAAATAAGGATATAGCAAGTGTTGTGTTGTTATCCTCTTAATATCAATTGAATTTCGTCTGAATGTTAACAAATTTTCCTCTTTTCAATACAAAACAATGGCTGATTTTTGTAGCCTACAAATTTTCTTTTCTAGCATAGCTTTAGATCTAACGTTGTTTCTCTTTTCTGTTTCCCATCTATTAAGGTAACTAAAACTAAGTTGAATCTCCATTTTTCTGCAGTATAGAAGAATAATGATAACGACACTCTAGTGCCCAGAATTTTCAGCTTTCAAGAGCAGTCTTGGAACTATTTTTAGGAATTGACTTAATGCTTCTCCAAGTTTGTTTGGTAATCTCAACACTAAATTTTGTTTTACCAGCAATGGAGTTAGTGGCGCATCAAGGTTAAAGGAGGAATCAGATGCTTCATGATAGGCAGGGGACTAAGAGGTGAAGATATTCAGTTGAGACTATGGAGGATCTTGAAAATGGGATAAAGATTGAAGGAAATTGGGATGATGAAAGGGAAAGATACTTTCATGAAAAATGACATCTCTAGAATAAAATGTGACATTGGTATGGAGATTATAAATCTTATATGCCTTCATACCTTAGGGATAACCAATGAAGACACAAGTGGTGGCTCTAGGATCAAACTTCAATCGATTTCTCTTCAATTAACAGCATAACAGAGGCAGCCAAATACTCGTAGATGAGTGTATAAAGGTGCAGCCTGGAAGAGTATTTCATAAGGCGTTCTGTCAGCAAGAATAGAAGAAGATGTTCTGTTTATAAGGTGAGTAGCAATGCAATAAGGATGCAATTACCCCAGAATCTGTGTGGTATATTGGCTTGAAATTTGAGGGCTCGGGAAACATTTGAGAGATGCTGGTGATTCCTCTCAACTATATCGTTTTGCCGTGGAGTTTCTACACAACTGACTTGGTGTATAATGCCTTTGAAATGGAAAAACTCAGTCATGAGAAACTTAGCCCCATTGTCAAACCGTAAAATCTTGATGTTTCTTTGGAAATGAGTTTGAATTAAAGAATAAAAAGACTTAATGATGGATCTGGTTTGACACTTATTTCACATCAAGTAAGTCCATGTTACTCTACTATAGTCATCTACTATAGTGAG